GGGAAGAAGAGGAGCACTGGGAACAACCCCGCCAGAAGCTACACCTGCTGGTTGGAGCCCAGGCTGGTGGGCAGGGTACCGGAGCAGGCTGGAGTGGGTCTCAGCCCCAAATGGAGCACCACGGGGGCAGTTGCAGACTGGATCCAATCAGCTGGTGAGCCCATCCCTGATCTATAAGGTGTGATGACATCCAAACATACCAATCTGCCACGCTTCCCCAGGGGATAAATGGAGTTCAGCACCCAGTAGTCACAACTCACCCTGCATCCCGTGTATCATCATCTCCTCTCACTCACTCAGCTCCCGAGAAGTGGAGACAGGTCTGCCCCTGGAGCACCTGCTGCTCCAACCAGAGGAGTGACTTCCCCAGAACTAGTTCACTCATCCCCTGGGGATGGGTCCCAGTCTCAGGCACTAGCAGTAAAAACAAATTATTTTCCAAGTCAACAGTCTCATAGTTTCATAGTAGCTAAGGGTCAGGAGGGACCTGAACAGATCATCTCGCCTGACCCCCTGCCACAGGCAGGAATGAATGCTGGGTTCACAAGACCCCAGACAGGTGATCATCCAACCTCCTCTTGAATTTGCCCAAGGTAGGGGCGAGGACCACTTCCCTGGGAAGTTGGTTCCAGATTTTGGCCAAAGAGCATGAACTCTTTGTGGCAGGGACAGGCTCTTTGGCTCTGTGGTAGTGCAGTGCCAGGACAAAAGGTTCCTAGCCCATCTGGTGAGGACTCCTGGTGACTGCAACATTAATGATTACACCTGTGATGGGCTAGCTGGCAGTGACCTAGCCCAGGGGTTTTGAAAGGGCAAAAGATGATTGGAGGACTCGGGATTCCCTTTCCTCACCAATCTGGTAATGATTTGGCCCAGGGGTTTTGAAGGGGTAAGGGATGATTGGAGGACTTGGGATTCCCTTTCCTCACCAATCAGGCCCCAGAGATTCACCCCTCATGTCCCCTGATTGGCCTCTTGGGTCACCTGGAGGGGGATAAAAGGGGCAGCAGGGCTGACTCAGGGAAGGGACCAGTGAGGGACCATGAGGAAAGAGCTGAGCCAGCGGGGTGGGAGCAGTTGCCCCAGAAGAGCCTGAAGGAGCAGGCCCCGCAGGCAGCAGTGGGACCCTCAGCAGCGCGGTGTGTGGCCAGCAGGAGAGGTGTCCTGCTGGGCTCCAGGATCCCCTATGAGAGGCTGTGGGCAGCAGGGGAGGGTTCGTGGTGATCCCCTATGAGAGGCTGTGGCCAGCAGGAGAGGCTTCCTGCTTCAGCAAGGATCTGAACAGAAACCTGAGAGGTTCCCAGCCCTGCTTCCAGCTCCTCCAATCAGAAGTCAGGCAGCTCGATGTGAGGCCGGGGCTCCTGGAAGGTCAAGAGCCCTAGTAGCTTGGAGCAGGGCCAGCATTGATGGCTGTGTGGCAGTGTTCTTGCCTACCATGTGGGAGATCTGAGTTCAAGTCCTAGCTTTGGTGACTTGGGTTGAGTGATCTAGTTTGTTGAATCCTGCCCCTTGGGGCATTGTGGTGTCCACTATACCCCCTGATTATGCCTGTTATGTTCCCAGTATTGTTCCCTCATTAAAAGGTATATGGTTAAGTCCCCAGTGGTGGTCTGGCTCTGCTCTACAGGGGGAGGAGAGTCCCTACACCTCCCACAGCGCGTGTGCACCTGCTTTGATCCCTTCAATTGGAGAGGGGGTACCTCTTGGAGTACCACCTGGGTTACATACCTAATAAACAGCAGCCAGACAATAGAAGGAGGAAACCATTTGTGGGTGTTTTTCAATGCCTCAAACATGTTTTTCTTCTTGTCAGGCTGTTGATTGCTATTTTAACCATGCCTTGATATGATTAATTTTTTTTCGTTGTTGTAGCACATGAGAGGCCACTTGCAGAGCTGGGACCATTGTACAAGCAATGTCCCAATGCAGACTAAACATGAGTTTGGGTTGTAGAGCAGAGCAGAGACTGTTTGACTTGTGCCAGGTTTCTGGGATTTCTTGGTTGCCACATGGTGGGGAATTCATTTCCTTAGAAGCATTGGGTGTTGCAAGCCAGGCTGGGGATTTGGATTGGGTGACCACCCATCCCTAATTAGGTGAGACAGATTGAGGGCCCCTATAGTGAGGGAAGGAGTGGGCCTGGGCCTGGGCCTGGGCCTGGGGGCACTGCCAAGCCGGGCTGGGGCTGGGGCGGAGAGCCGAACAGAGCCACGGGCAGCATCCGAACCCCAAGCCTCTGGGCTTGGGTCTGCACGTAGGATGCCCGCCAAAGAATTTGGAACTATCTGAAGCCCCAGGCAGGGGTGGAGGATGCTTGCTGGTAGCAGGGCCACATATAATTCTTGAATAACTCACAAATTTGGAATTGATTTGGCTGATTTGACTTGGGCCACAAAAAAAGGGCTGAGGGTCTGGACTAACTCCCCCCAGAGGTGGTAGTCACCTACCCTAGCAATCTTCAAAAAGTGTCTTGATGCCCACCTTGCTGGGGTCATCAGATCCCAGCAGTCTTTCCTGCCCAAGTGCAGGGGTGCTGGACCTGATGATCTTGTAAGGTCCCTTCCAGCCTGTAACATCTATGAAACTATGTCACAAGTCTACTGCTGTGCTCCTGTTAGGCTGGAGTAAACTAATTTACTCTGCAGCAGGATAGTAGTTTTTGAGGCGTACATGCTGCCCTGGTTGGCTGGGGCAGTTTGGAGACTGCCTGCCTACCTGCCTTGTGACATGAGCCTGGGCAAGATGTAAAGATCAGATGAAGCCACTAGAGGGCACCACATCCTACTGAGAGAGAGCCTCCTGGGCACCGATACAGCTCCTTTCAGCCAGCATCGCCTACAAGCAGGGATAATGGCTTGGTGGGTAATGGGCTGAATAGTGGAACATCAAGAATTAAGAACATAGGAACTGGCATTTACTGAGGCAGACGGTGGCTCCGTCTTGCCAAGGCTTCTGTGTCCCGCAGCAGCAGAGAGCAGATGCTGGAAGGCAGAGTGAACTGGGACAGTCCAGGGTTTTTCCCACTGTTCCTCTCCCACTTGCAGCCTCCTTCATTTAAGGCAGCAGTTTTCAAATTGTGGGGCACGTGCCCACTGCTGCCACCAAGAACTGAGCATGTAAAGGGATGTTGGGGGTTGAGGGGATAGGTGCCATGGTCTGGGATCAGGAACCAGTGGGTTTCCTCTTGCAGGCTGGCAGCATTCCAGCCCGCAAGGGGCATTTGGGACCAGAAGGCAGGGGGTGCCGCAAGCATGTGCGCATCCACACGCATGCACGTGCCTGGAAAATACATCTGGGCACCATGGAGAGCTGCTCCCTACAAGCAAGTCTATGGGGGGGGGTGGGGGCAGGGGGGTACAAGAGGGGCTGGGAGGGGGCAGATAGAGGCCCCCATGGTGAAGGAGGGAGTAGGACAGGGACTGGGAGTGCTGCACAGGCAGGGCAGAGCATGGGGTGTTGCAGATTTGTCCGTCACTTTGGGGTGGGTTCATTTATTAGTTACGTTTTTGGGGTTTCGGTAATTCTATCAATGTGTCGTTTGTGTTACTTGTGTTTCTATATGAAGTATATCTCTCCTTTCTGCAAGTCCTCACCCCTGATGGAGCTACCTTGCAGGGTCTAGTTTCAGTGGGGCTGGGTTCCTCCAGCTACTGAATCAATCGAACACACACACACACACACCCCCCACATCTGAGTCAGGCCGGGTTACTCAGCATTTTCAGGCTGATGCCCTCATGCGCCCCAAATTCAGTACAGGAAGAGAATACATCTGAGCTGGCTGGGTCAGTCAGCATTTACAGGCTGACCCCCTAATGCCACCGCTCAGCACAATAGGACAATCAATGAAACACATTCAGACACACACACAGGTTAATAAGGTACCTCTGAGTGGGCAGGGTTCCTCAGCACTTCCAAGCTGACATCCTCATGGGCCCTGGCTCAGCACATCCCTTATTTCAGCAGG